ACAGTATGTGCTTAATTCATTGCAGATGTGCAAAAAGTTCCTTTAAAGAGTGGATTCACCAAAAATGGCTGTAAGGCAATATGGTCCTGAGTTCCCAGACTGAGAAAAGCAACTGCTGAAAGTTTTCAGCTGTGAATTCTGATGAGCATCCCACTGTATGTGCACACCAGGAGTACAGCTCTGGTCACTAGCTATTGAATGTACACGTACAGGTTTGTGCCAGTGAAAACAAAATAAGGTAGGCTGTAAGACCACAGGCTGTGCTGCTGCTGAGAAACAAGATGCTGTGATGGAAAAGTGTTGGAAGAGCACATCTGATTCTCTTGTTGGGTTTAGTCCCTTAATACTCAGTATGCCTTCCTTGGAAGTCATTTTATTTATCTGCTAAGTTTCCAAACTCATGTGTTTGCTTCATCTATGTCCAACTTCCATTGCTGCCCTAAATGTCGTGCAGCAGACAGACCAGACAGACCCAGAGTGCAGCAATTAATTCACTAATCATTCCCGGAGGGAAGTGTAGTCATTCAGGAGGGACGCAGCACATCCAGTGTGTCCTCCCTGTGTATTTTACAGGACCAAGCTGGTGACTGGACAACGTGCACAACTGCAGCAGGACACATGCAGCACCTCCTGCAATGAGCCCTCGCTCCAGCACGCACTGAGGCTCCGGGGTGGGGGCAGAGATGTGGAGAGGAGGAAAACACTTTGTGCTGTATTGAGCAACCTTTCCTCCGAGGGATGAATCTTTCACCTGTCACACTGCCTAATGCAGACAGCAGTAATTACGCTTAGGCATCGAGCATCATCCTTTACGGAGTTATTTTCATGTTTATTGGTGGCAATTAATCTCCAGTCATATTTTTGAAGGAGAATAAGTGAATAAGTTGGCACATTTACCAGGCACTGTTAGCACGTGACCTGAAATGTGGCAGCTTCCTTTAATGCAGCGCTTCCCAGGAGAGCGCTGGCTATTCCAGATTCATCTCTCTGGGTATTGACAAACACACATGGGGTCTGAAGGGAGCATTTGTACCTTCCTGGCATCACCACTCTCAGGTTGCTTTTCTTATTGATGGTATAGTTAAAGTCTCTGTATCATTTTGACGTTTTTAATGGCGTATGCATTTACAGCGTAGCTCTTGTGTAAGCTTCAATCAGTGTTCTGTTCTCATGTTGTTGCTATTATTATTTATCTCTATTATGGTAGCACAGAGAGGCTATCAACAAGGGTATGATGACACTGTGCTGGGCTTGGCTTGTATGGGTGCGCAGGAGAGATGGTGCTGACGATGGCTGCCATGGCACTGTGAATACTTGGCCCAGTATCTCAGGAGCTGGAATCATCATCCCACTCCAGCTAGGATTTACCATATTGATGTACACTGCAAAAATATGTCCCAAGTACTGAAGTCTTTGGTTTCTTTTGTTTTTAGATTTTCTAGATGGAACCACTAGACCTCAGTCCCATGGCTAGTTACACACTTGAGTAGTCTCATGGTCCTCTTGAGCTCAGTGGAACTACTCCTAAGAAGAAGTACTCAGATTGAGCTGATCAGCTCTGTGTCTGTATCTTTGGAATGGTTCAAAGGTTATTTACCACGGTGCAGATCTATGTGTTAGCACAGAATAAATATCACATAATGCCCCAGTCAAATCACACAGGTAAAAAACTTACTTGCAGCCCCACATTCTGTCACAGCAGAATGAGACTTGAGGGAAAGAAAAGAGGAAAAACAAACAAGAATTGATAAACTTTGAACAACAAAGATCTTATTTTCATGTTAGGATAGTGCAGCGTAAAGTCAAGTGAACGTGATATTTCATTATCACAAATTTTACATTAGTACTGTGCCAATGAAATTCACTCATTTCCTTTTGCAATTAATCAGCAGTAGATTAAGTGATACTGCATGAAATAGCCTTGCTCATTGTGACCTGCACAGGGCTTGAACTGACAGCTAAAGCAGAAAATCTTTATCATCTGAGGTAAAGACTTAAATCTAGAAGGGGCAACCCATCACTGCGTTGATATGATCCCATCACTAGAGAGAAAATGGGATGTTAGCCCTGGTTGTACACCAGTGCTATGGTTTGGGTTTTTAACTGTTCAGAGAGCTGCAGTCAAAGTGTGCTTGCAGTTTTAGGAACATAAAAAGGAGTCTAGCAGTATCAGGCATTGTAAATGTGACACAGTAAAAGCCCCTTCTTTTAGTTCTGTTTTTTTCTGTGTCTTCCATGAGCACTCAGAAGTACTTTAATCCTCGTTTTACGTTCTCTCACTAATAAATCCCCATGAAATTCACGTTCTTAGAAGCTATCTGGTATGCCAAGCTGTTTTATTTCACAGATAATTAAAACATTTTGGCTAGCTACTTTGGGCTAAACATACTGAATGGTGCAACGTGTGCTCACTGATGCCTTGTACTTAGAAGCCTTTGGAAATTCTGTTTGTCAGCTAGTTTTCTGGTCATTGCAGGCTTCTTCTGTTATCCAGATTTGTTGGGTTTTTTTGTTTTTGTTTTGTTTGTTTTTGATTTTTTTAAAAGATTTTACAACCAGTTAGAGGAATTTCTGCTCTTTCTTGGAACATTTTGTTCTTCCTCTTGCTTAGATCATGGAATGAACTTTGGTGCAGGAAGAAAGCAAGCATGTGACCAAAATAAATAGTAAATAAGTGTTCAAAGAAATGGCTTACATAATGGAGTTGTGTTTGGGGCAGACACTGTAAAAGCTAAATGAGATGCTTGAGCTGATGCTGGGAAATATTTTTCCCATCCTACAAAACATTTCACTTCCTTTCAAAGTGAAAAACACAAACCAAGCAGACAAGTCTGATAGTTGGAGTATTTATCTGCAGTATGGAAGACAAAGGAATAGCACACGTCTTCTAATGAGAGTTATTATTTGTGTTATGGTAGTTAATTGCCCTTGGAGTTATGTCAGCCCAGAGCAGCTGCCTGTCAGGGCTCTATGGCTGGCTGAGGTGAGGGGAGCATCACGTCCCTGGATCAGGAAGGGTCAGCTTTGATTCCTGCACTTTGCTTCCCCACTCTAAGGGAAGCTGCCCACGCTTGTAAGCTCCAGGTGCTTGCCCTTTGTGGAGGTGCAGAGCTGCATCCCTTGATTTTCAAGTTCTGCAGAAAACAGATCTGTATTTATGGAATGGAAATTGCAGGGAAACCCCATCAGCTCCAGCAGATTTGCTTCCTGCCCCAGAGGGCTTACAGTCTTACCAAGTGTCTGTGGGAAACAAAGATAGAGCACCTCTTTCACAGATTCACGGTAATAATTTAAGACTTTTAAAGAGTAAGATTTTGTTTGCTTGGCTCCCAGTGATGTTAGGGAGAAACTATCATCCCTGGCAGTGGGAGAAATGAGGCAAAGGAGTGAACTGCCTCGCAGGGCTGTGTACAGAAGCATGCTGCACACACTGCTTTCGGCAGGACACAAAGCCACATGTGCATCTACAAACCCCTGTGGGTCATCCTGGAAGCTCTGGGATTGTCTCTTCATGGGTCTTTGACGTTGCTGCTCAGGAAGCACAAACTTGTGAATTGATGATCAGCAGTGCTAGTTGAGTGGAATCTCCTATTCCTTTTCTGCTAAGTATCTTCAGACTGACCAATGGCTGACTTCTCAAGAAGATGAGGGACAAAAAGCTTGCCAGAATTAACTGAGAAATACTGTTGTCCACTGTGGGTTTATAAGTACATGCTGTGGAAGAAAGGGGCTCTGAAATTTCTCAGACATGAGCTTCTGGCCTGTGTGGTGTTTGTATTTGCATTGCTAAGTCTAGAAATGGCCATCCAGCTCCAAGAAGCAGTGTGTCACCTGGGGATTAGTTTACATGTTTGCAAGTAAAAGAGTTTGTGAAGACAGCTATGTCGATGGGATTACACACTCATTTCCTGCATGGCAGAGGATTTTATACTGGCAGAAGAGTTTCTGCCAATATAATTGAAGCCAGCTCTGGTTCCCAGCTGTACTGGGAGCGTGGTCTGTAACTGAGTCTTTAGAAGCAGTTCTGCCAGTAGCTGCATTTTGAGCAGCAGGCACCACTGTACTGACAGGTTGGGAAGTGCAGTGCAGGGTAGGACTCGAAAAGAAAACCTTGTTTTTTTCCTGACCACTTATGGAGGAAGCTTTAACCCCTGGCTGTTTGGTTAGAGCTATAATAGAGCTATATGCATAAATATTACACATTTTTTTGCAGGTGCTGATTACTGTTTCTATAGCAAATCAGAATCAAGCTCCTTCTGTACTCTGATTTCCCTCTCATCTTGGATATGATCAGGCAGGATTGCTGCGTGAATGGTTCTCACTGTGCCTTAACGTGCTCTGCAGAGAATCTGCCCTCCATGTCAATTGCTATAGCCTTGGGAGCCCTTCTGTAGTGCTGGTACATGCTGTTAATGGCACCTGAATTACCTGGTGTACACACTCCATATCTTCATCCCTTAGTCTGGATTAAGAAATTCTGACTCCAGTGTTGTTTTCTGCCCTGCTATCTCTTTACTCCAGGAGAAAACGAAACCCAACACCATCAGAGGAGATATCCTTCTTTAGATGATATTTATTATCTCAAGGGAACAGAGCAAAGAAACAATATTTGATGACATTATTAAATCTACAGGTTTTGCTTGGCAGTTCTACCTGCCGTTGACTGCACTGTAGTCAGGATGTGATCCTCTGCATCTAATTCCACTATAAATTCATTCCTTCCAGCTATCTAAGGGCACTAAGAAACAGGATATTAAAAGATTTAAGTTCTGATCCTATAAAGGTGTTAAACAAGTCCTCAAATCTAGGTGTAGATTGATGCTGCTGTCTCCTTGCATGCTGAAGTGCATTGCTGGTTCAGGGGTTGGGTTTAGAAGGTTTGAGGGCTCTTTAGAAAGATGCTGCTTTCTGTTAACGTCTCTTTGCCCACTTGCCAAGGGCGCTCGGCTGCAGCGGGGTGGTTGTGCCACACACCTACCGTCCTGCTCCATGTTTTACAGGTTGCGATAGCGATCACTGGGGACCCCACTGCAGCAACCGGTGCCAGTGCCAGAACGAGGCCCTTTGCAACCCCATCACAGGTGCCTGTGTCTGTGCAGATGGGTACCAGGGCTGGCGCTGCGAGGAGCTCTGCGAGCCCGGGAGCTACGGCAAGGGCTGCCAGTTCCAGTGCCAGTGTCACAACGGAGCGACCTGCGACCACGAGACGGGAGAATGTCACTGCACTCCTGGATACACGGGGGTGTTGTAAGTTCAGTGAAGGGTCTACTTTACCCTGCATTGTTTAATGGCTTTGCTTTGGCTGCTATGAATGCAATGAGCAAATAGCAGAATTTGCACAGTCTTTATATTACGCACTTTCCTTTGCAGAAGTCAGATAACAGAATTTCAGAGAGGCTAAATAAAGGAAATATGTGTTATTTGCTGCTAATTATACCTGTCTGCATACCAAAATAAAACTTACTGCTAAAATGAACTTAAAACGCCATGACATTTCCCAGCAACTGTAGCTACAACAGCAGTAGTTGTTCCTAATTTCAGTGTGTGAGTACAACCCAAATTACAGTTCAGTTTTTTTAAGCATTTGAGCTTTCTACTCGTTAGCAATCCAGAGCAGTATCAAATGGGACTTACCATCCCCAGTTTATTTGGCTTTCTATCTAGCAGAGGAAGCACTACTGGTAACTATATGAGCTTACTATCTAGGGGGTAAATTTTTAGTGTAGTGAGAAGGGATTTAGCGGTGTGATTCCTATTAACTTTAACGAGAATCACGTAGCTAAATCCCCAAATACCACACAAAGTTTACCAGTAGGATTCACAAAATCTGCATATTAATTTTAGGACAGCAAGAAATAGTTCCTTGTTTAAAATTGCCCACAGTGTAACATCAGTACTCATTAGAGATCTTTGAGTAGTTTCAGAAGTAATTACGCTTTTCAAAATTATTTAAAGGGAAAAGATGATTTACTCGCTGAATTTGGCTGGAGATCTATTACAGGTGACTTAATATTTCTGCAGTCTAATAACAGTTGTTGGCCTGCGTGAAGGAAGTAAAAAATAAAGGCAATATTAAACTTCGTAAATAAGTTATATACTTTTTGAATATTTCATTTAGTACCTGATTTCATCATAGCCTTATGACCTCAGTCCTGGAAGCACTCACTGCTAAATGTTACATGTACTATTAGGACTGGTCCCATTGACATTAGTATGTCTGTTCTCAGCAGTAAGTACTTGCATGAACATCCTCATCAGAGAACAGCCACATATTAGAAAAACTTAGAGTACTGTCAGAGACATGAGAGTTGTCTTGTTGAAATAGGTGGAATTTGGTGTATGCATAAAGATTGCACACATGCATCAGCCTTACAGCACTGGATCCATGGCGCATAAACAACCCCAGCAGAAATAATGGGAATAATGGCTAATGGCAGTGCCAGCTGAGGCTTACTCAGGTTTCACTCTCGTTATGACCCGCGTTGTGGATTTTCCTCTTATACTGTTCCCAAATGTAACTGTGTTCTCAAATGACCCCTTTGGTTCTTGTTTCTCCTCTCCCACAAAGCTGTGAAGAGCGCTGTCCCCCCGGGAGCCACGGAGCTCAGTGTGAGTTGCGTTGCCCATGCCAGAACGGAGGGGTCTGCCACCACATCACTGGGGAGTGCTCCTGTCCTGCTGGATGGACGGTATGGCAGTTCTTCACTTAGAGCTTGGAACGGGGATTAAATTGCTTCCTGTCTCAGCAGATGCCCAGCCTTCGTGCTTATGGTATATATATTCTATTTCTTGCCATGAGGATCCCACAGTTCTGAAACTGGAGCCTCCTTTGTTCTGTGTGCACAGCATTTAGGCCACCAGCCTTTGTTTAGTAGCTACTTTAAAAGAGTTAAACAACCAAATTAAAACTATTCTTCTGCGTGGGAGAAGAAGAGAGAAAAAATGGCCTCTGCAGTTCTTTGAATTATCCCTGCACTGTTAGACACTGCCCTCACATGGGTCACATGGAACAGAAGGCTCAAAGCCCATCTCAGCATTGTCAAAAGCACCGTATGGTTTCCCTTTCAGGAGAAAGGGAGAGAGAGAAGTCAAGGAGAATGCAGTGGCTCAGGGTGTCTTTAAAGCAGAAGGAATGTACGCAGGGAGACAAAGACCACTTCAGCATCCAGTCCTTACTCAGGCAAAATTTCCTTTGATTGCAGTAGATTTGCTTGCATCAGAGGTTACCCTGGAGAGAGCAAATTACCCTAACCTTTAATCCTCCATGTCAAGAAAGCAAGGCCAAACATTTTAAAAGTCCTTAACTTTATCAATAATGTGATAATTAACTCTCTCGGGGTTTGCCAAGTCTCACAGGCCTACATACCATTTAGCTGTGCTAAGTCTCCTGGCATTTTTCCCATACCGGACAATTAGTTTCTTGGCAATCTTGCTGGATTTTAATGCATGCAAGTACTGTGGCTTTTTATTTTAATACAAGGAAGATCCTGATGTCATCATACAACTGTAGCTTCTGTTATGGGCCTTATACCCATTAAAATGTCTGTGGACTGGGAGATGTTTATGTTCCTTTAGATTAGTACAGCAAATGTGCCTCCATTTAGCTTCTCAAGAAGCATTTCAAATAACAAAATAGTTAAAACTTTTCAGAAACTAAATAAAGACAATGGCACCTTGCCCTGAATTGGCATTTGGTGGAGGTTCTTTCCTAGGGTATTGGGGCTAATGCAGTAGGTAAGCAAACCAAATATTTTGGGGCCCAGTCAGCCCACTCTAGCTGTTTGTCTAAGGACTAATTACTAAAGTGATTTACATTGAAATGTCACTTTAGGATAATTTTTTCTGCCTCCCTTGTCAGCTGCATGCCAATATTTTTGAGGATCAGAGCTATTTTTCTGTACTCTTCCTCACTCGTATTTTATCAGGAATTATCTCTCTCTCTTTATTTTTAGATTTTTGCAAATTTACAAAATCACTGAAGAGATTAGAGAATGTCAGAATAGAGCAGGAAATTTTTAGATGTCTTTTAGGATGCAACATAGATCCTAAAGAAGAACCACAGCACTGGGGCTGTACAACAAAAGTGGTCGTGTATTCTGGGCCAGTTCTTACCCATTCCTTACAGCTTGGAGTTTCTCCTCTGCATTTTTAGTGTCCAAGAGAGACTTTCCTGAAAACTGTTTTGTTGGCTGCTCGGTCCCCAGAGAAACCCCAGAGTTAACAATTGATGTCTGAAACAAGTCTAACTGAAAATTGAAAAGAGAGATCAAGTATTCTGGGGGAAGAAGCTGAAATTATAAGTAAAAGCACTCAGCTTGTAAATGTTGAGATTTTAAGTATAAAGTGTCTCTCCAGGGTTTTAATGAAAAGTTGGTAATTCAGTACGCAGAGAGAGAAAAATATTTTTTCATGCTACAGTTTTAACTCTTGTTGGTTGGAATGGTTTGTGAAGTGAGACACAAGTGGGCTGTAAATGAGCGAGAGATGGGAACATTCACTTTACTTCACACCATCGATAGTCTTTGACATCCGGAATTTTACTTGCTGATTTTCAGGCTTGAGAATGCATGTATGTATTGAATATACCATCATATTGGAAGTAGAGAATTCTCTCTGGATTTATAGAAGTGCAAATCCACTTGGATTTTATTGCTGCTGGAAGAGCTGTGGCTATTATCCTTTCCTCGGGTAGATTTATTTACAGCCCCTCAGTTCCCTTAGGGACTTGGTTGGCTATGGGATATGGAAAGGTAGGCAGTGAAAAGGATGAAGTTCTGGGGCTCTTAGGTTCTTCCTCGGGTCTGCCATCTTCAAAGCCTGGTTCTTTCATTACTGGTAATATTCCTTTCCTCCTGATTTCTCCCACCCAGTGCAGACTCTCCTAGAAGCATAGCAAGTTATACCAACTGTGTCCCACGAGATTTCATTGTCTCATGGATTTCTTACCAAGAGAGTGGTGGTGAATGAGTCAACGAAATGTGGCTTCTTGCACCCTACAACGATGGAGTTTTTCCACTTATGCATATTTTGGGGGCTGGGAGTTAGTGGGTGGCTGCTTTAGGGCCTCATCAACTATTCGCAACCTTAATTCTATACATATTTCTCATTTGCAGTATTAAATCCTGCAAGCACTCTCAGGAATTGGGGAGGGAAATAAAATACAGGTTTTTACAATGCTTCTCGGAAGCACTTTTGAAGGACTAGATTTCCACGCTCAGGGAGGCAGCAATCGTTCCTTGCATGACAAAACATTTATCACCAGCAACACGCCCTGTTTGATCCCAGGTCCCATTCTCAAAGCTCTGCATCGTGTTGCCATGTATAACATATTCTGCTAATTGCTTCTCTCCCATTCACAACTGCACTTAATGAAGTGACTATGCCTGTTTTCTTTCTGTCATGGATTTTTAACATGGAACAGAGGGGTGAAGAAGAGACAGGAGATCTGAAAAATTCTTACCTGTGCTGCAAAAATTGTAATAATACAGCATGCAATGTCAAAAGCAAAAGTTGATGTGATCGGGGCCTTAAAAAAAGCTGCTGATGGGGTGAAGTTTGTGGATTAGATGTATAAGCAGCAGGAAATATTGGTCTGACATTTGATCCTCCAGAGAGGGATGCTTTGGATTCCCTTAGTACATATTAATGCAAAAAGTATGCCTAAAGATTCTCTGGGCTCCAAGGGAATGCATCAAAGAGTATTGCTTTCTCATCATTTGTTGATAGAAATCCTGTTCCGTTTGAGATGTGAAGAGGGAAAGTATTTATTATCAAGATAAATGGATGCTTACATTTTCAGATATATAGTGGTGTGTATTACTTAAGCCCGGAGACACCAAGTTTTTAACACTGTAATCTGAGTGTTCTTGAACTGAGGCCAACCTGTCTATTTTACAGCCAAGGAGCCACCTATCACTGGCTGAGAAAGGCTTGAAGCATCTACTTAATGACTGCACTGAAGAGTAGCCTATCCACTTTGGGGCTGTTGATATTGCTAAACTTTCCAAACTGTGCTGAGGGAGAGCAGCCATTATGACAGCAGCCATTAATGCTCCTGTATTATATTTTGTATGGGTTTTGTCTAATATGAGTTTCTTTTCAAAACTCAGAGCCCCTGAGGCTTGGTTAGGGAAATAAGGCTTCTGGGAGATTAAAACAGAATAACAGGGGGAGAAAAAACATTTCTGTCCAATGCTTTGCCCTGTGCACAGCACTGGCAGCAACTCTGTTTGCTACAGTGGCCAAAAAGTTTTCCATTAGAGGGCTCTGTCCTCAGATCCCTGCACTGCCAGAATTGTTTTGGCTGAAATTACTTAGCTGGATGCCAGCCTCAGATTTTATGTTTGCTTGCATTAAAGTACAAAAAAAAAAAAAAAAAAAAAAAAAAAAAAGAAGCAAAAAAAGAAACAAACAAAAAAATTCATTCAACGTCTAAGAAAGTCTATAAGGAAATCCTTGTGAGACCTTGACACTTGGCAGGGGGTGTTGTGTGATACCTGGGGGAAAACCGGCTGAATTTGGCAGATAAGTGCTACAAAGGCAATACCCATGGAAAGCATTCTTTGTGTTGGGAACAACCAGCTGGAGAAAGGCCTGCCCTGTGCCCTGATTGCTTTTCCTGATGAGCAGTGCCAGAGTGCACAGTGACTGACTGTCCTGTCTTTACTTTCGGTGCAGCCTCTCCAACAATCCCCCTCCTCCCAAACATTCACTTTGAGACACCCAGGGCAGGTCCAGCATCTTCTCAAACTCTATTTCACCTAAAATCACCAGCCCATATGCAGCTTTGTAGCCTTCTCTGGTTGTCTTTGGCCTTTCCTAAGAAGCCCTGTCTTTGTTCAAAGGGCATGGTATAGCCTGATGCCCCAAGCACAGTGTGCAGCGGAGATCCAAGGAGGGGGACTGTCAGTGACTGTACAGTGGGGAGGAGAATCCCTCTGGAAGTAGGGCAGACAGATATTTATTTCAGCAGCTGAGACTGTCTTAGGCCATCTTAAACAGAAAAAAATATCTTCAGTACACTTAGATGTAGCAAGAAGAACAATAAATATCCACCCTTCATATTGGAGTTCATTACATTGTGACTGTTGACTAAAAATACTGCTCTTTCTGCAAACTTACCAGGGGCTGGTGTGTGCACAGCCATGTCCTCCTGGGACATTTGGAATTAATTGCAGCCAGGACTGTCCGTGCCACAACGGAGGACACTGTGATCCCGTGACAGGAAAATGCATTTGTACACCTGGCTATATTGGAGACAGGTAAGAATCAAACCCTCAAAGCCTTTACTTTTAACCAAGAATTGGCAATATTTGTATCTCTGCTAGAGCAATCTTACTCTTGAAAAAACAGTGTTATGTTTCTGTTGCTGCTATTAGGTTCATCCTTCTGCAGCAGTTCAAGTATTATAAATGTGGCAATGTTATTACCTTTTATTGGCAATGCTTTCCATTCACTGTTTTTTTAATATAACTTTTAAAATTTAATGGATTAAATTTAATTTAGATATTTACAGTGATAAATTTAATAGAGAGCATTACATGTTTACAAGATATGTAAATGAACTATATTTATACAAATTAATATCCTCAAGAGTAAGCAATGCAGCAGTTTAATGTTTCTGTCAGCCCCTCTACGCTGCTGCAGCACTGATCCATCTCAGGCACCAACAAAGGGTGATAAATCCTCAACATTTATAAACGAATGGCTTCACCCACAAATCAGTCTAAGATGATAATGTTGCTTTTCAGAGGTGTCACAGGTTTAGCAAAATGACTACACAGCAAAGTCAAGGTGGGATCTTGACATGCATTGGCTTAGCCCTTCAGCTAATCCTGCCAGCAGGGCTAATGGTAGTGAGGAAATTGTAGCTGAGCAAGCTTTCACATGCAGCTTTCACTTGGGATTGAACTGTGTCACTGGGGTGACAGAGACCCTGGGCACAGCCCACTAATGTTTCCTATGCTAAAGCCCTTTGTCCTGTATCTTCCTTTCTGTTACTAGCTAGAATGAGCTAATACTGCTATGCTGATATTTGCTAAAATTATACTTCTATGCAGCAGAGAATAGGAATTTCTTATTTCTCGCCTCACTGCATAATCAGCAGGTCTTTACAGCAAACAAACAGACCAGCCTTCAATATGCTCTGTGGTTCAGAAGGCCACATTCTGTCCCAGCAAACGTGGATGCTCCTTGTATCCATTTTATTGACAATGGGAATTGGCAAGGGGCTCTGGAGATTATGTCAGGGTTTGTATGTGCTTAAATATGGTGGAAATATTATTTCAAATTAATGTAATAGAGGAGGCATCAGTGCATCTCTCTTCCCCCATCCTCCATCTGGAAGAAGTGATTTCAAGATCCCTGGGATATACTGTGAGAGCACTGTGTATGACTAACCGAAGCTTTCTCAACTTTTGGAGATAATTCCACTTGAAGAAGCAGCTGTACAGCCTGAACACTTCCACTGCTGACCACACTTCAGTCACAAACCATCCTCAGTTCCTCAGTTCTGGCTCTCTGGCTGGAGGTCTCCTCATCTGGTTGCTGCAGACCTAGATTGATTTTTGGCCATAGGTGAATCGACAGCATTAGAGCTGTCAGGAGCCTCCAGCCAGCAGCCTGTAGCTGAGCCAGCTTCTTTGCTCAGCTGCCAATATAGCCTCCAGCCACGAGGGAGGACATGCAGCAGAAGAGCTGGCTCTGTTACAGGAGTGTGGCATGGGGAAACAGCAGTGATGGAATTGCCATACTTTCTGCAACACTTAGATGTACTCCAGCAAAAAGAGCAGACAAAGGACCACTGGGGAAAGAGATGGCAAAAAGACAGCAGAAGACACAGTTCTGTCTCTTGCCAAAAGCAAAAGTTCTTATAGTACATCTTCCTTAGAGAGGGCCTGGAGGAGTCTCAGGAAGTGAAGGGGTAGAGGAGGCACTACAGGGCAGAACTGCCAGGAACCATTTTGAGCAAAGGGCGAGTGGGCTCTTCAGATCTGGGCTTGGAGAAAAGTGGTAGATGTTAGGACTCTGGAGAGGTGGAAAAATAGCAAAGCAGGGAGGCAGAAAATAAAGCATGACCAGCTGGAAGCCAAGGCAAGAAGCTGTCCCAGGGAACCTGTACCCAAGCAAAACCTTTAGAAGTAGCTCACCTGCCATCTCCTAGAGCAGGAGAGTAAAAGATGGAATGAAGGGAGAAGTCAGAGTGCAGAAATGCAGGTTCCATTTCTGCTGCTATCTTTCCATATGGAAAAACAAGTGAGAGCAGAGGGAAGTAAAGCAAAGACAGTCCTGAGAGCTGGTGAAGCTGACATTAACCTAGAAATCACCACCATTGGGTTCCTGGGAGCCTGAGGCATGTTTGTCTCAGCCTTTATTCAGGGAAGTGAACGTTGGGCCCATTGCAATCACTTGGGTTGTGACAGCCCATTGCCTGTAAGGGCTGTTGTGAGCAGGTGTGTGTGCACATGCCTCGCTGGCAGCTGCAGCCTGCAGATGGGAGATTGCCCGTTGATTTCAGAGAGGCAGGAGCAGGCACAAAGTCTTAAAGAAATCTAGATTGCTTTCCTGAGTTGTGTGCTTGCACGGCACGGACAATGGGATGGATTAGTCAGCAGCATTTGAGTTTACAGTCTCTTTTATTTTCTGGGTCTCATGTAACCATTGCAGTGTCACAGCATAATTGCAAGTGCAGCAGGAGAATGCCACTGCACAACAAAATAATGTTTTCTTTGAAATTCTGCATGGCCCTGGAAAAATATTTCTTAGTAATAACAGATTTTGTGAATAACCACAATAAAAAGGGTAAACACTCTATCTACTATTATCCTCTCTAATTGGCAGTGAGTACTGTACAAAATCGTGGTTCGTCTTGTGCAGGAGATAATAACTTGTAGTTGGATAAATATTCGTGGCGATGCAATGGTCATAAAGGTCTGTGTAAGTGTAATTGCAACACTTTATTCCCCACCTATTTTCCAGGAAGAGGCAACACACTAAATATCTTATAAATTGCCATCACTATTAATAACTGCAGGCAGCTCTGTGCTGAAATGACAGAACGTGTCATGCAAATGTGTGCTTTGCAAACTGGAAAGGGATAATAGCAGAGCACAGTTAGAGCTGGGGATGGGGAATTGAATGGCTGACTGGAAAAGTGAACATACTGTTTTAGCTTTGTTTTGTGAACTGCCATAGAGCTTAAAGAGTGAGTCTTAACAGAATGAATGCCACATTTGTTACAACAGCGTGAGCAAACTTATTCTTTTGTTGTTGTGTTTGTATCTGTGTCTTTTATAAACAGAACAGTGATTTGCAGGCTAGTGTTTTTTGGATGGCTTTTAATCTTTGTCTGTGCTACGTAAATGTGATCACTGTTATGAAAACAAACAACCTTAAAAACTTAACAGCATTATTCAGCAAAAAGGAATTATCTAGAAAAAAATGTAGGTACATATACTAAGTTCATCTGTTAGCAAGCTGTCTTATGTTTAATATTTTGTAAAATTGCTTCCATTAATTCTACAGGTGACAGCCATATTATCCTATCCAAACCCAAATAATTATAGTACGTATTAAAGTTCAGTGGATATTATAATACAAATCTCCCCAGATAGCCAGAAACCAACGTAAATTAAACAAGAAACATAACTAGAGCTTTGCAGCTCATTTTGTAATTTAATTGAACAATGTATCTGGTTGTTAATGGTGCTATGGACACATTAGATTGATATGTTGCAAAGGACAGATATTCAAGTAGAAAGCTAATTCCTGCTGTGATTATTCTTATGTTCCAGAGGAGTTGTTATTAGTATTCTTTGTATAAAATTCATTAGCAGTAGCTGCTTGATCTCCAAATAAATAAGTTGGTTAAATTGCTAGTAGAAAAAGGCTAATTATGTAAATGGATTAGGTTGTCAATATTTCATTTCCAGATGCTTTTCTCCCTGCTAGGTAATGCTTCATCTGCTATAAATATAGAATGATATAGTGCACTATTGACTACGTATTCATCCCGTTGAGTACAGTGCTCTCCTGCTAACTGGTAGAGCTGTGCACAGCAATGGAGGCATAAGGCATGTTAATACGTTCTTCATTGCATTTCACTTGCTGTAAGTGTTCCAGTTCTGAGGTTACCCATTCTTTGCTGGTTGTTTCCTTTGCAGCTGAACTGCCCTGAGAGCAGCAGGGCCAGCAGCCAGCACTGGGCTCTCTCCCTTCCTGTTTGCCACAGGCTCCTCTCTGTGGGTCTCAGATGAACTCCTGAACCTGGATTGTGTAACTAGCAACTGTGTTGATGCTTGCTGCAATTAAATCACCAGCTCAGCCTTTGGCTTTGTTCATTTATCTTTAGCAAAATGTAGTAATCTGAAGCTGCAGTAGTAATTCTCTCCTTATATACTGACTGTGTTTATTGCAGTTTTGCCTGGCTTGCATCATGCATTAATCTTTTATTACTGATCATTATATTAACTCTCACCTGCCAGCTGTGAAATGACCTGCAGAAAGGCATTTAACAATTGCCTCTATCCACTGAGTTTGCCGTATACACTTTAATCAATGCTTAGGATTAAATTAATGCTGATAGGCAATTTCCAATACCTGGCATCCACGCGATAAGGGAATTGGGCTTTTCTGGACTTCTTTTTCTTTTTTTATTAACTGAAAAGGCGTATCTGTATTTCACGGTGGATCATGTAAACGGTAGTCCTGACTCATTGCAAGTTTCTGAAACCTCTGAATTATGTCAAGCAGAGAATCAGTAGCTTCCTTTAGGACTTCAGCTGAGCTTTTTAAAGGATGAAATATTATGATACCTTAAACTGTAAAACAATGAAAGAGATTTTCTTGCAGAATTCACAATGTCTCCAGTTGGGAAACAGCAGAAAACAGTACATGGAAGGTGTAATTTAAAACAATCTGTGTATTTGCAGATTTCTTCTCTATCAAATTTTTAAAATGATGGCAATTTTGGAGGAGCTGCAATGCTAAGGAGTGTGAAAGTGATTTGTCTGGAGATTTTATACTGAGTGTCCCTGGAGTAAGAGATGAAAAGCAAATTTGGAGTTGCTCAGTATACAGACAAAAGACGAAGGAGTATATTTCCTCCTGGTTACTGTAAAGCAGGTGCAATGGCAGCGCAGAAGAGGAAAGCAAAGCTCTCCTTTGCTTGGACTACATTTTATTAATATTGCTCAATAGACCACATTTCCTTTCGGACTTCATTGCCACTCTAGGAGGAATGACAGATTTTAAAATCTCTGGTGAACAGAAAGGATTAAGTCATGTTTTCTTTCAGAAAGTGTCTTAGTCTGTATGAATTTCAAGCTACGGCAGGGGAGATTCAGGCTGGTCATCAGGAAGTATTACTTTTCAGAAAGGGTGGTCAGGCGCTGCAATGGATGCCCAGGGAGGTGGTGGAGTCACCGAGCCTGGGGGTGTTCAAGGAAAGGCTGGATGTTGTGTTGAGGGACATGGTGTAGTGGGAGCTACTGGGAATAGGTGAACGGTTGGACTGGATGAGCTTTTAGGTCTTTTCCAACCTTGGTGATTCTATAATTCTATGATTCTATGAATTTGTTATGGTCTAGGCATGGAAAATACAGAGGTCCAAGAAACAAGAGTGCACTTTGTTAACTCGGGTAATATTAACAAATGCAAATTTTGCAGTATATAATTGGACAGAGATGAACCCACTTTCTGTTAATAGCTCTTTACGTGCTCAAGATATCATACCACCCAGTGATTCCAGTTTACAGTGTATTACTTAAATAAAAGAGCAGTGGTTTTATATTTAATTCACTAACAAAAACATTCTCATGTAAATGTCGTAAGCAGAGTAGACTTCAGTGTTTGTTTACGTCCTGTCTCATGTGTTTCATTGCAGGTGTCAAGAAGAGTGTCCAATTGGAATGTTTGGTTTTCAGTGCACACAAAGATGTGACTGCCAAAACGGTGCAAAGTGTTACCATGTGAATGGAGCATGTATGTGTGACCCAGGATTTAAAGGGATTCACTGTCAAGAAAGAATGTGTCCAGAAGGGTTTTATGGCCTCAAGTGCAACAAGAGATGCCCTTGCAATATTACCAACACCCTCAGGTAAGTACATCATATTATATACTGGTACAGGGACTGCTCAAATAAAAGCATTAGGGAAAAAAATCATCCCGCTATACCCACAGCCTTTTCTCTGTAGATTTAATTAAGAACATATACAATTTCTCTGCTTTACAACTTCTGATTTAAATGACCTCAGGTTTGGAACCATAAGCTTCAGTCCAGCCAGCTATTGAGCATTAACTATTTAAACAGGCTTTACAAAATCTGAGACAGTGGGAAATGTGGATTTATCCTGTAGCTGCGGTCTTTGGAGCATTGAAGAATAATACGGATAATGTCCCCCTGAAGTTCAAAATATATAAATATGCTCAAATCCATCAATATATAAATGCAGAAATCCACTCAAATCCATCTCTTTTTTCATGTTAAATCTATAGACAGCAAGAGGACTTTCAAAATGAAGCCTGATTTGCTTCATTTCATGTCTTGTGGCAAATTACCTTGTTGAAAGCACTTGAGGACAATGTATAAATAGACTGAAATCAGTATCGCCAAGTCAGTCTGTGGAACTGTAATGAAGCTGAGATTGTCAAAATAGACATCTCCTCTCTCCTCATGGGTGCCTGGTTTTGTTCCTCATTCACTTTGTGTACGTGTGAAATGTTCAGAAAGAAAAATACCAGTGAAATGTACCTAAAATGGAGTAAGCCTCACTTAGAAGGTCAAGTCTCAGTGTTTTATTCCCTTTGTAGTTGTTGTTTCTTTTTTTTTCTTTTTTGTAGGATGTGATTCTTGAGGTTCTCATTAATAAGAGCCACAAAGAGACTCGAGCACCTAACATGAGATAGATTGAATTTATGTTCCCTTTGCAGGCTTCAGTAACTTCTGAACCTTGAAAAAGGAAGAATTTAAGGCTTTTCTTTGTTATCCTGTTTGCTACCTTTTGTATCCCCTTGCTTACTGACTGTTGGAATTGCCATTTGGAGGTTCCTCACATACAGCAAAGGGAGCCTGGACACAAACAGCAGCTGCCATGAGCTTTTCTGATGGCCTGGAGTGCCCACCTGTCCTTCCCATGTCAGCAGGATGCTGGGCCCCTCAGCTCCCACCTGATTTCCTCTTGTTACATTCCAGTACTGTTAAGCATTCACAGCCAATCCAGGCTTGTGTTGGTTTTGGAGCAGGATGGGATATGTGATGCCCAAGCAAATACACCCTTGATATGGACATTCTTCAATTTTAAACCTGCTGGCTGGAGACCTGACTGTCTTGCTGATGATGACAAACCTACTTTGCAATCTTGTAGCTTACTAAAGTATAAACACCCTCCTCAATTATGTATGCAAGAAAAACTGCGTAATTTGTGTGCATACGCACATACACTCACACACAAACACTTCAGGTAAATCTGTTTGTGTGCTTGAGATAGACTCTGTTTGTCTCTGTCTTAGAAATAAACAGGTGATCTTTCTTGTGAATTCAACTTTGACTGTGAGCAGTGAGGCTTTGCTTCACTGAATGTTGGAGCTCACAATGGATTGTTTAAAAGCCTTGTAATTCTGATCATACAAGTCCTCTACAGAAAGATAGCTGCCAGCTCTATTGGGTTTGACAGCAAGGATGCAAAGTGTTTGACACCTCAAAGGGAGCTCTAGACAACAGGCTTCTATCACATCAGAGCATTCTGTGCATCATGATACCATTGCAAAAAATAATATCCCTGAGGCACAAGCTGAGCATTAGACACAAAAGGTTAGTGTTATGTTGTGCTGAGGGTAGGAGATGACTCAAGAAAAGAGAGCTAAGTTCTAAACTCCTGTATGTCACACTGCTCTGCCAGCGTGCACCACATTGACCTGCAGTAATTACACTGCAAACCCTCCTCACTGAAAGCTTTTACTTGTGTACTGTAGGGTAAGAATATGCTTCCAGATGGTAGCTGACACTGTGTGTCTTCACCCCTCCTCTCATAGCCTGCAGAAGCCTGTGTGTGTGCCTCTTTTCCCAGAGTGAAGGACTGCAGGCCATGGCCAAGGATGACCTTGGCTTCTGTTTCTCAGCTAACTGCTCAATTCGTTAAGAGTCTCTTCAGCAGGGAAGGCTGTGGGTTTGAGGTTCATCCTGGGTTGACCAGAGGAGTTGCTCTGGGGGAGCTGCTCTGGGGGTTTGCCAGAAGGTCTCCTTGAAGGAGCAGCCTGGCACCATCTGGCTGTGAAGGAAGGTGAGATCAGAAGGATAAGAGGATTCAGGCAGGTGGGACATTGAGTCCTTTCCCAGCTCTTTTCTCAATGTATGGTTATTCCTACATGCCACGTGCCTGACCTGTGCCTGGCTGCTGTCTGTTAGATACTTTTTATGCTTTCTGTCCCATCATGTGTTCATCAGCTTCACTTGCAGCATCCTCTGCTAAGATTTTATCTCTATTCCCTTAATAAATGAGTCTAGTCTCTCCATTGATAAAATCTCCCTTTTTCCTGCATCTTATCACTGCTGTTATGGAACAAAGAGATATCAGGAATCTGTAGATCTCTAAATGTTCTTTCATTCATTCGTGGTACTTCAGCTTTCCACTTTTCAGTGAGCTCCTCAGAGCACTGTCAATTTCTGAGCTGAGGAGTGTCAGAGTTGATGGAGTATGACCTTCTCTAAAGGCACTTCATATTCTGAACGCATCTTTTACTGATTGCTTAACCTGTCCCATACAGAACACTTTTCTTCCCAGCCTCCTCCTCCCCTGAATTTTTGTCTTCCAAAGTGATTCATTTCCTGACAGCCATCTATTTATCCATTTAAACTGTTGGCTGCTTGTTGAGATACCTACGAGTGCGGGATGATTTTATAAACCTTTGAAAGGTGAGGGAATCTTGCTTTTTGTCTGTCAGTGGTTTTGACTCATCTGATGTGGTTATTGCAGAGCTGGAACAGTAAGTTCTGGGGCCTTTGAGGAGCAGGTTGGAGAGGAATGTTAAGAAGGACACTATCAGCTTTCCTATTTCCACAGATCTATTTTAGTATCTGAAGAGACCAACCTGATCATCCAGTCTGATTATTATCTAAATATTGGAAAATCTGAAAGTAACAAGTTCTGCCCCCAAAGTAAGAACGCACTGGAATGAGGTTGGCTCTGTAAATGTGCTGAATTGAGAGACTCACTTTGGCTTCTTTAAAAGCAAGAGGGAGTTTGTAAGGGAGACAGAATGCAGTGTAGACACCAAAAGAGAGAAAATGCTCTTAAATAAGGGTTATTACAGCTATTTATTTAGATGAAATTACTTCTGCTAGTGTGTAAACTAAAAACTGAGAAATTCACTGGGAAGAAGTTGTTTTGACTGAGAGATGTGTGGAAAGCAAATGCAGAATTTGGAACAGACTGTACTGTCTGAAGTGTTTCTTTTCCCAATTTGCCTTAAGAAAGTTAAATTCCCTGGAGTGAAAGGAAACTGGTTTCCTGAAAATTAGATGTTTAAAAAAATTCAAAGGTCAAAAATGACTTTCTGCTTTTCAGTTCAGCTAGTGAATATAAAAAATAATAATCTTTTGTTACTGCAAATGTGACTCAAAAGCCAGGGAACGTACGGTTAGCTTCTGATCTGCAGCAACAGCCATGGAACAACTTCCTTCTCATGTTGTGTGCTGTGGACAGCTTCCAGTTTCCACCTCTGCTTGGCCCACTGCCAGAGAAACACTTGGCTGCTTGCACTCATTCTAGGTTTTCTACACTACTCCTTACTGTTATCCAAGGGATTTGAAGAAATAAAAATTGTTAAGATTCAATGCAAAATACTAATGCGTAATACTGCCAGACTCTTTCAAGATTAAGGTTTCTTTTCTGCTCACAGCAGTTGGAAAGCAGATGTTAGCATGTTTGCTTTTTGGGGTCCTTCCAAAAGCCCCAGCCCGTCCATTAAGAGGTGTGTATGTTAATGTCAGTTCATTGGTGGCATGGACCTTACATATGCCACCTTCTGTCCCGACAAAATGTTTTGTGGACCTGGAGAGGTACGGTCAGAACAGGAAGGGAGGAATTACACAAATCACATTTCTAATTCTATGTCCTATTCTTTGCTTACACTACTTTACTATTAACATTAATTTCAGTGCAGCTAACTTTTAGTTCATTGGCTAGGCTGGATGTATAGATGTTTGGATGGATAACAGATCCATTTCCTACCTATGGTTATGTCTTTGGGTACGTAGTTACAACACAGAATGTAAGTTTACAGAATACCCATATGGTAGGAGAGAAACATTCCTAACTCATGCATATATATGTTCATACACTATTTTGCATCATATCTGGTGCATAACTCTGCTAACTTTAACTAATGGAATAATTCACACGTACCAGAATATTAAAAACAGTAATAAAAACTTACTATCTAGTGACTTCAACTGCAGATCTTAAAAGGATTTCCAAAGGAGGAAAGGCATCATTTTACAGATGGAAAAGATGAAATACAGAATTGCATGGCCAAGATTCACTGGCAGAGTCAGGAATAGAACAGCTGTCTTCTGAATTTTGGTTAAGCAACTAAATTGCAGCTATCTTCAAGTTAGCACTGCATCTGGGCACTTCAATTGTCAGATGGTAAAACCGTCCTTTCTTTGAGGGGAAGATTACATGAGTGCAGGAACCCACAAACACACTGGGGTTTTCCTAGCTCATCACCTTATGAGGAAATAGAAGGTGGCATGGAAAGGGCACAACATGATCTTTTACTGGAGCTTGTTACAGAGTCCATGCCCATTTTTCCCACAGATTCTTCTGCAAAGTCTCTTTGGTTCACGCTGGTTATTCTAGTGCATGTTTGGATGATTGTTAGTTCTTAATAAATAGCCTGCATCCCATGCAAAAAAAAGCTGTCCATTTGGATGAAGAAAGCAGGCTGGGAGTAGAAATTCTTACTGAGCATAGCATTTTCAATTGAATTGTTATAGACTGATTCAAACTGCCACGGTCATATATTACATTTGAAAGATTTAATTTAGCAAACAGCTGCAGTTCTCGTGGAACCATATGATACATGCAATAGTAGTGAAAACAAAGAAAAAAAAAATCACTCTAAAACATTTCTTTAATGTTCAGCTTCTCCTCCTACTAGGTGATGATTAATAGACACAGAGGGGAAAAGAAGAGCTTTTATTATTTTCATCTAAATGTTAAGAGGTGCTGTGTGAACAACCATAATTTCAGGGACTGCTTTGTCAGAAGAATTTCATGGACAGTAGTTTGTTAAGCTGATGAATTGTTTTAATTACTCAGTCAAACACCATTTATGATGGAACACATGACACTCACAAAATTTGATCATTCTTAGCTGCAACAGTATGTGACTAACCTCTCGTACCAGTAATAGCCAGAAACATTCTTGAAAATTACATTCGATGAGGCTGCCTTGAAAATTAACATAAAGGATATTAATTTTATAGGTGTAAAGAAACCTATTTAGTCATGTTCGCAATACTAAACTATAGCAATAAATAATCATAAAGGAAAACAAACAGGTTCTGTGAAGCAGAAAAGAAGGAGGTAGGTCCATAGAGAGGTACCACTTTGCAGAACTCTCTCCTTTCTTGTTCTTAGAACGATAGAAAAAAACCCTGGCTTGTGGCAGTATTATTTCTCATCTCACACCGAGGGCCAGACAGCACTATTGAAGTGCAGTCTTGAAGTGCAGCAACCCCTGGGGCATTCTGAGCTCTCAGTGAAGCATTGCACTCCCACAATATGTGTTGCTTTGCCAAAGATCAGATCCCTCTCTATCCTCTCCTCTTTTCTCCCACCTTCTCATCAACTGCCTCACCTCCCCAGCCCCTGGTCCCCCTTCCCACAGCCCAGACACAGCTACATCCCCACACCAGCACTTCTCCAGCCTCCCCTTCCTGCTGCAGGGGAAAGTTAGTACCCTAAGTGAACCTGGGAGATGCTCTTTCTGTTTACAGAAGAGAAAATTGTGAGTAGTGTTTCGTAGCAGAAGGAATAATTATTCCAAGATTTCACCTCCAAAGATGTCTTCACTGGGACCAAGCATTGCCTGGTCTTATGGTCGTGAATTTTGTTTCTACTTCTCTCTCTATGAGCTGTCACAAGTGTGGAATTGTCTGAATAGCAATGAAAGCCAGAGGATTCATGGTGGGCAGCAATGCTCATTATTCACCGTACAAAGGAACCTGACTCTTTTCCCTGCACAGCTGAAGTTTAGTCTCAGGGCTCCTGTTGACTCCTGCCCTGAATAAATTCTTGCTCAGGCTCAGTTAGTGATCAGTTCAGTTCGCTATAGCTGAATATTCCCTGCAAAAGTATTTTTCCAAAGGACACGTTTCCCTTCCAAGTACTTTCCTTTCTACTTCTCCCTCCTGTAAAGTTTGGTGAACATCTTTAACTGAACGTATTTCACGCAAATAGTGTGGCATACACAGGGCTTAATTGTGATGTGGTTCATGTCAGTAACCCAAGTCACGCTGATCTGAGAACAAAAACATAAATGTAATGGGTGCAGGGACAGGTCCCAGGTGTTTGGAGGTGACCCAGCAGACTGGTACTTGGCTTCATATTCTGTGGCTGCATTGCCTGTTTGGTATGGCTGCTTGTGTTTACCATCCTGAGCAGTTCTCAGGTTTGTTCTGCTCTTGGTGAAACTCTTGCTGGTGTTGCACCTGAAATGTTCTACTGAGATGTCCTTACAGTTCATAGACTTTATTTTTTCTTCCGCATTCACATCTCACTGATGTCTGCTTGTCTTCATTAGTTGCCATCCATTGTCTGGAGAATGTAGCTGCAAAGCTGGCTGGGCTGGACTGTACTGCAATGAGACCTGTCCCCCCGGGTACCATGGCGAAGGCTGCCAGCTGACCTGCTCATGTGAGAATGGTGCAGACTGCGACAGCATCACTGGGAAGTGTACGTGTGCACCAGGATACATGGTAAGTGGGAGCTGGGGGTCATGGGGCATGGCGTAAGGCGCCCGCAGAAAAGTAAAGAAGATTTTAATCTCATTTCAACTAATATTTTCTCAAAAAGCAGCAAAACACAGGTTGCTTTTCCCCTTTCCGTTGTAAGTCCATATAATTCTCCTTTGAGCAGTGTCAACATACTACTGCTGGTTATTTATTTAACATCAGCATTGTAAGTTCATTACTGTTGTAAGCATAAATACATCATTTCCTATCTTACATTCTAAGTCAAGATATAACAAAAAAGATGTCAGATTATTGTCTGCTTAGAAGAGCAGAAAAAGAATTCTCTTGGCCTTTCAGCATGTTCCTTGTCAGTCACACTGTGATTTTAATAGATGAAGATTTTTTTTATGTTACAAATGATAGAGCAATTTATGTCTTTTCTGAATATATATGGCAGGTGTCTTTTACCTGAGCATCAGAACGAACCTCAGACACTCTGTGGTAAACAACCATTATATTTTATAGATGAGATATAAAATGGCTGAAGAAATCAGCCACGATGAAACAACAGAAGGAAAGTATCCTGAGGAATAGAATAAAATTCCAAATTAATGATTTCCAGGTTGCAATATAAAGTGGTAGGATATGAATCCAGGCGTCCAGTCCTGCTGCAGCTGGGCTAATGGAATTCTTGATAGTAAACTTCTTGGTCAGGTTTACTCAACTCTACATTCACAAGCAAAGTACTTCTTTCACTTTACTTCAGGAACAGGCCATGGAGCAGATCTGCTGGTTATCTTTAAGAAGCAGCGCTTCCAAAAGGAAAAAGTTATTTTCAGGAGATATTCTGCCACAGCTTTGCTAGAAGCTGTCTTTCTCTATTTTGTGTCCTTACTTTTATATGAGTTATGGCTTAGAGTCACTTTTGTTCTTTGCTCCATGTCAAAATCTGAATCTGAATATTGGAGATTCCATCCAGTTTCCAGGGGTTCTCTCAGGTTGGGTATAAATAGACTTATTTAGACATGAGGGCTAGGACTGTAAAAAGTGTGCAAGACAGCAGTGCTGTTTAAATACAAAAAAAAAAAAAAAAAAAAAGAGGAATAAAAGAGGAATAAAAGAGCTTTGAGGTTTAATTCCCCACTTGTTTATACTGATAGAAACAAGAATTTATCTTGTCTGCACACCAGTGGTACACACAGGTATTAATATAGAGAAATGGATGAAGGCAGAAGCGTGTAAGTAACAAATGCAAAATCAAATGGTACCAATATCCTCTTTCTTATCAGGAATGCTGTTCAAGTATGCAGCACAAGAATATTTTGGGACCCTTTACTGTATACATGTTAAAAAACCCACTGTTTGTCCAATATATATAGTTCCAAGACAGTGTTATTGCAGCTGTGAAGCCTGGGAAGGAGATTCCTATTGCATTGCTTCAAAATAATATTTAATCTCATAATAAAGAGCTTTCTTGCATTGACATTTAAACAGCTTGGTTATTGAGGATAGCTCTATAATCACTGAAGCATATTTAGGCATTAGTATCATTGCTCTCTCGTAATATACTATAATCTCTGGCAATTAGTCCATGAGGGGAAGTAAAGCCTTGAAATTGCTAATTTATTGCCTCTGAAGCATATTTGTCATTTGTATGCATGCCAGATGACTTGAGTTGCAATAGTTCTTTCAAATGCTAGGGAACACAGGCTGTAAAGAAGAGTTGACAGGAACCTTTCCTTCCTGCCCTGCAACAGCCATGTTGTGCTGCACTGCTCTGCTGCGTGGGCAGGGAAAGGCATCAGCACTGCTGACTGGCACAGGGAGGGTGGGAAAGGTGCCGTGGGTCAGCACCCATTCCAGCTTGAAGCGCCATGCTCAAGACTGGGCTTTGCCTTCAGGTATGTATGTGTGCCTCTTGCTGAGGCAGTGGGGAGCTCTGCCTGCAGGTAGAATTTTGCCCTTGAATTCAGCTAGCCTGCAAGCAAATGCAGTGTCTGTTCTTGAATGCAGGACGTCTCTTCTGGCAGCACTGACAATAGAGTGCTGATAGATGCTAATGCAGAACTGGGCAGAGCTAATTATTCAGAAAAGCCCTAAATGAGTCCCTCTTGCTTTTTAAAGCATGAAGCTTGGCCGATGCAGCTACAGGGTCAGAAATCTTGACATATGTTTGGAAAGCATATAGTGAGATCAGCATCTTACATTTCATAGAAACACGGGAGCTTATATAGTCGAGCAGGGTGATGTGTTTTTTACTAAGAGAGAAGGAAGAGGGCATAATGGAATGTAGGATGCAACTGCAAAATAGAATTGCAAAGGCATAGGGATTGGACCCATAGGACTTCAGGGTTACTGGATGGCTAGAAAAGACAGTGACCAAGAAATCACAGTCTCCTCCTGACAAAGCACTCCTCCAGCCCACTTGTCTTGCACAGATGGCTTGTCTTTTAACAGTGCCCTGCCTCCGTTGTGTCAGGGCAGCTGGGCTGGGTTTCAGAATGAATCATCTGCGATCGCAGCCAAAACAGGGACATTTTGTTGGGATGCAGAACAAGCCATGAAAAACACAAAGCATCTGGTCACCTTTATTAAATGTATTAAGTGAAAAGGCAGCCATCCCATAGGTTGAAATGTACGTGTGCTGAGCACCTAATTTTTTGGAAGCTAAGCAGATTCAAGTTTTAAAATGAAAAAGTACATTGTAGCTCAGAAAATAATACATTATTTATTAGCTTTGACATTTCCAAAAATTCAAATGCCAAAGCTAAGTATTGGTGAGCTTGCAGTTTTGGATAGAATCTCAAAACCTTTTATGTCTTCTTTTTTTTTTTTTTAAATGAATATGTTGGGTCAGACTCGCCATCCAAACTTGTACATACCTAGCTCCAAAAACAAACTACACTGGTGTAAAGGTGTTACTGGGTGTCTGTACAGGTTATTTGTATGAGACTATGCTCAAATGAGGGAATTGCAGTGTTGTAACTGTGGAACTGGGTGTACTCTCACAATGGGGAAGTGCAGCATTTTAACTGCAGACACCACATGTAGTTTTGTCTGAAGAAGAAACTGAGAAATTAGAATGATTTTCACTATTTCAGCCAAAAAAACATAGTTTTTGGAGGCAGCCTACATGACAATGAAACTAAGATAACAGGAGCAAAGGAGATACAACAAAATCTTTCCCCAAATCCTAGAGCACACCCAGAGCTACTCCCCTTATGCCCTGGCAAAAGAGCCCATGCTGCTGCAAAGACTGTGCTTACTGCATCTCACTTGTACCAGGAGGTTAAGGGGTTGTGTCTGTTTAATTAATATGATTGCAGGGAATCATCATGCCAAGAATACCAATAAGGCCAATAGAGCACTTCCCTGAAACTTGTATTTTTTAAACATTTGAGGATTTCCTCTTAGTACTCGTGTGATGAATTGCCAGTAATGCTTTTCTGAAAAGTGGTTTTGAAAAGCCATTCTGCTGCCGTCTCATTTGTGGCAAAAAGGAATCTGATGAAGCACGCACAGGGACAACTCAAAGATTACCCTTAAAAAGCAGAGAGGGAAATTCTGGACAGGTGGAAATTGGATCCTCTCTCCCACACGCAAACAGTCACTCCTTGCAATAAATTCCTGGGATGCAATTATGGGGGTGGTGAGAGGAGTAACGCTAACTTGCACATCCCCCTCCTTCCAAATTCCGATCTCAGATGCTCTTTTACAAGTCCGCTGAGTTCTGTTGTACTGTAAGAATGCAAAAGAAATCAGGATTTGGCCTGTCCTCTCTTCTTTTGGTTTTGATTCATTGAATTTTATTCCCGTAATTCAATAAATGTGTTGAAGAAGGCCAGAGAGTATGAATTAAGAATGACAGGAGACCACAGGAATCCTGACCTTCTGTCTCACAACCAACCCCCTGCCCATACCTATCAGCTTTCTAGCTTCTGAAATCATTATAGGTGCTATTGAAATACATCTGGATTCACCCTCTCCACTGCACACCTAATTGCAGCTTTCTTGAGAACAGGAGCTATCTAGAGACCTCGTTTCATGATATGCCTTTGTTTCTTTATGGATGCTTTGTTTTGTTCCTTTGGAAAATGTGTTTAACTTCAGATGCTTTCATTCTGTCTATTGTAGCAAGAATGAAGTAATGAAGAAAGTAAAGAATGAAGTAATATGTAGTAAAAAAATTTCTCAGCCTGGGACACTAAGAAAACTTTAACACTTACCTGTGGAATGTGTGGTCAGCTTTACTTTGGTGGGCACTTAGGTCTATATTTCACACCTAGGTGACAGAACTTGTATTACTTTAAAGAGTTCATCTATTTATGCTGCTAGTTTTTGAAGACCTGTCTGCTTTTATTGAACCCCGCTTGCTGGCAAGCAAAGCTACTAGCACTTCATCACCAAAATGAAAGAATTCATTCTGACATTTTTCTATTCCTTGACTATACTGGTAGATCCCATGAAAGCTGATTCCTGTATCTCACAGTGCAGGAAGGGGTGGAAACTGCAGGAGAGAGAAACTCTTACTAGATTTTTCAGCTTTTGGAATGTCACTTGGATTCTTAAAACTTCCCAAGATGAATCCCAGCTCTGTACATCTCTTGTCATTTGCATCTTTTGTTGACATTGCATCAAAATTGCCTTTCAAATGTATCCTTATGTAAGTGCTAATGTATATATATCCTCGCTGAGCTCAGTGAGAATCTGTACACTCAAAGACTGAAACACAGGCTTAATTTGAGTCTATAAATACAAACTTTGCCTATGTGCCAGAGTTCCTCAGTGTAATATTTTCTCTGCCACAGGAGTACAAATTACTTCCCACGTGCACGCCTGCATATTGGACTGAGTTGTCTTCTGTAACTTAATCATGAACAATTGCTCAAATATTCAGTAAAAATAAGTGTATATTGCATTGCTACAAACCCATTCAAATGCATGGCAAATGCATGGCCAACTTTCTAAGAGGTAATCTCTCCATCAGTACAAATACATGCAGTATCAGAGCAGTCTAATTTTGC